TTTTGAAGGAGAGCGAGAGAGAGACAGAGCATGAGCGCAGGAGGGACAGAGAGGGAGGGAAACACAGAATCCGAAGCGGCTCCAGGCTCTGAGCTGTCAGCACAGAGCCCGACGCGGGGCTCGAACTCACGAACCGCGAGATCATGACCTGAGCGGAAGTCGGGCACTTAACTGACTGAGCCACCCAGGAGCCCCCTGACTGGTACTCTTGTAAAGTGTCAAGGTCAAGGAAGACAAGGAAAGACTGAGGAACAGTTTCAGACTGGGGGAGACTAAGGAGTATGACAACTGAATGCAAGCTGGGCTCCTGGACTGGATGCCAGACAGGAAATGAGTATTAGTGGGAAACTAGCGAAATTGACATCAATCCGTGGTTCAGTGAATAGGTACTAGACCCAGGTTAATTTCTTAGTTTTGATGGCTGTTCTGTGGTTGAGAAGTTAATATTAGGGGAAACTGGGTGAAAACAATATGAAAACTCTTGGCACTATTTTTGCAACTTTTCTGCAAGTCTAAAACTATTTCAAAAAGTTTAAAGGGTACGATGGGGTCACCCTCCTTCCCCCCACTCCCCCCCCACAAAAAAAATCTTGAAATGAAATTCATGCTCCTGATGGATGTTTGCATGCACCTGATTGGCTTGGCATGCTCCCTGACATGTCCTGCACACCCCCCGGGGGAGTCTAGAGGAGGGGACAGAATGCCAGGACCTTTCTGTTCCCTCCCTCCAAAAATCACTGATCCTCAGCGTCACAGAAATAGTTCCCATGTGAGGAGCTTCAGGGCCTGTTTTGGCTTGTTGTCTGTGGCCCTGACATCCTGGAAGCATCTTGACAACCTGGCCCTTTCCCCTACCAGTGGGGAAACTGAGGCCCAGAGACTCCGGGTCACCCAGAGTCAGCAGGTAAGGCCAGCCAGACTCCCGCCTCTCAAGTTTAAGGTGAATTAGGACCTCTCTGGAGTCACCTCTAGGGTCAGTTCCCAGCTCTGCTATATACTTAGCTGTGGGGTCTTGGGCCTTACTTGACTTCTCTGGGCCTGTTTTGTCCCCTGACCTAGGGGAAGCAATACTAGCCCTGCCTCCTATTCGTAAGGATCCCAGCCAAGTCAGACAGGGCAGCCAAGCTCCTCATCGCCATTGGCTACTGTGACTGTCACAGAGGCAATGCTCCACCTCAGGGGTTTCGCATTCGGTCTGGGTCAACCTTTTCCTGGGACCCGGGCGGAGGTGCTGGTCCAGGCTTCTCCATTCCTTGCGTAAGTTACTTTACCCTCCTGGGCCTCGGTTTCCCCAGCATGGCTCACCTCTCAGGCGTGTCTGTGCGCAGGGTCTCTGTGCCCACACTCACCTCTCCTCGTTGGTGAAGACAAAGCGCCGCAGCTTGAGATCGCGCAGGACCAGGCCGTGCTGGTGACAGTGCGCCAGGGCGGCGGCCATCTGGCGGAAGAGCGCGGCGGCTTCGGGCTCGGGGAGGCGGCGGCGGCGGCGCACCAGGCTGTGCATGTCCCCGTGGGGCCGTGGGAAAAAGGTGTAGAGGTGGCGGGGGCCCGCCACGACGTCGGCCGGCCGCGCCACGTGTCCCCGCGGGGGCAGCCGCGAGTAGGGCTCCAGCACCGCCTGGGCCTCGCGGGCCGGGTACACCTGTGGGCGGGGCGGGGCGGGGCGTGAGCGCAGGTGGGGGCCGCCCCGCGGAGCCCGGCCTGGCCTTGGAAGCAGTCAGGGCCAACCATTCAGGCACTGTGTGCTCGGCACTGTGCCAGGCGCTCCAGCAAGCCGCTCCACCGGGACGAAGCTGAGAGGCCGCACAGCCAGCGGGTGGCAGGCCTGAGACCTGAATCCGTGCTCCACGGTCTGTGCCCTCAACTGCTACCTTAGACGCCCTTAAACTTCAGGCAACTGGGAAATGACAGGGAACCCAAACGGAAATAGCCCAAGGCCGTGGAAATGCAGAAGAGTAGATAGCCCACGAGTCACTTTACGCATAGCATCCCGTGCTCATAGCTATACCGTTCCCTAGGATGCACTGCCTGCCCGCCCTCTCATTCACTGCACAAGGAGACACTGGCGGCTGCCTGTGCCGGCCTTGGGGATCCAACCTGGCTGATGGCCGTGGCCCCTACCCTCCTGATGCCCACGGTCCAATACAGGAGACAAGGAAACAAGCCAACAGACAACATATTTACAAATTCTCATGAGCATCCTCCAGAAAGATGCTGGAGGAGAGAATATTTTGGAAGGGGGCACCTACCCGGAAAGGTGTGGTCTAAAAGGGACTCTGGGGAAGTGACCTGAATGATTCAGAGATGCCCACGGGATAAGCTTTCCAGGTGGGGAACATGGGCAATGCAAGGGCCCTGAGGCAAGAAAGTGTTTGAGCCACTTCAGAAAAACCAGCCCAAGATCAGTTCAGCTGGAGTGGGGCAGGGGAGGGAAGGGGGCAGTGGTGAGTGTGGTGAGGGTGTTGGAAAATGTGCCCGGGGCTCTACGGACATCAGATGGAAACCTCCCCACAGCCCTGAAAGGTGTGTTCCATTTTACCGACGGTGAAACTGATGTTCAGAGAAGGAAGGTCACCTGTCGGAAGCCATACAGCTGACCAGAGGCGGAGCTGGTATACTGACTTTGTCTGCCTTTAAACCCTTCCCATGTTATTTTGGCCATGCCCACACAGAAAATAAAAATAAATAAAGCGCATACATATTTAATTCATGAAAAAAAAAAAGTAAGCATATGTTTAAAAAAAAAAAAAAAAGAAAAGAAAAGAAAACCAAACAGCTGGGTGGCACGGAAGAAAGAATTCAAAAAACAGAGACTACTTTTTTTTAAGTCAGGGTAAACATGCCTGCCTCTGTGCATTTGAACTTGCCTGTCCTGCCGCCGGAATGCTCTTTCCTAGAGACCCACAGGGCTGGCCCCCGCCCCCCCATTCACGTAAGGCACTGCTTGAATGTCACGTCCTCGGAGAGGTCTTCCTGGACTAAAATCACCTGCTCCCCCATAATCCCTGTCCCCCTCTCTTTCAGCTCCCAGCTTTCTCTCCAAAGCACTTACGATCCCCTGGTACATATTTTACTTATTCTCTTGTTTACTGTCCATGTCCTCCACTTAAGCATCGGCTTGATGAGAGCAGGACTCGGTCTATGTTAGAGCCACAGCAGGGTGCATGGCACGCAGGGTGCTCAGTGAAGGTTTGTTGAATGAATGAATAGGTGATCCTCTACAGACAGGCCGATGATCCTTCTACACACTGGCCAGAAAAGCCTAGGCGATGGGGAAAGCTGGAGGCTCACTGGCTGCTTCCCCAACAAACACAGGAATAAAGTAATATAAGGACCCCTCAGCCCTGGCAATCCTCTAGAGCCAAGGCCCTTTCCAAGCCCCCTGTGATGCTGGGGGAGAATGACCCTGGGGGAACGTACCTTGCAGGTGTACTCGGTGCCTGAGGGGCAGTGCAGGGCCCAATAGGCCCGGCCACCCTCCTCAGGCTCCAGGAGGACATAGGGCCCAAGACGGGAGGCAGTGGTCCCAGCACAGGCATGGGCTGGAGCAGGAAGTGGGCTCGGGGGCAGCGGCGAGGAGGGCAGCCTGGGCTGGGGCCCGATTCGCGCTTGTTTCCGGATGGGACACTCGGTGTCTAGGTCATTGTCCAACTCCCACCGCTTCCTCCTGGAGGGGGCACCCGCAGCAGCAGCCAGAGGGGTGGCTCGCATCTGCGAAGAAGGGAAAAAGCACTGAAGTGAGGCTGTTTGGTGGCCCCCCCCCTCTTCCCTAGCCTTTATGGAGGAGGACTTGGCAGTGTGCATCAAAGTGACAAACGCCCTTAACCTTGACTGTGTGTCCCGCTTCTGGGGATTTATCCTCCAATTAAAATGCCCACCAAAAAATTAAACATGTCAAGGGCTGTTCATCAGAACCTTGCATCCAATAGCAAAAGGCAGTAAACACTCCCAAGCGTCCAGCAGTATGGGGCTGGTTAAACGTCATGATACAAGCCACATGGTGGAATATTATACAGCCCCGGAAAGGGACCAGCAAGCCCTGTACACACCGATATAATGATGTCGGTATACAGTTATCCTGCACCCACGTGATAGAAACCACTAAATGTCCATCATTGGGGAACTGGTTAAATCAATTCTATGTCATCCGTACACGAAAAAACTGTAGCCATTTATGATTAAGAAAACTCTTTAGGGGCACCTGGCTGGCTCAGTCAGTAGAGCATGAGACTTTTTTTTTTTTT